TGGAAGCAAAATTTTGCTAACGGAGATGTTTGTGACCCGAATTGGTCGTGAACAGAAGCGTTCGTGACCTGAGGTACCACTGTATTTGATTTCTTATGTCCTGGATTTAGCCAGAAAATCAGAAATTATCCACCTTCTTTGATCTTGGAAGAATGATAAAGATGCAAACTAATTTTTGCCAGTTGAGTAATTAATGGGATTATATGGGAGAAGCATTTTGGGGAAGCAAAAGCTGTATACCATTTCTTAAGGCCTGTTAACTTGGAGCCAGATCAGCTGCTCTATAATACGTTGTGCCATATTGACAATAGGATTTTGTCACAGTTTAGGTCCCAGGTATTTATTGGAATGCCACTCCTGGTATGTACTGGCCCTCCTGTTGAGAACTTTTGAGGACCCATCTAATATAACTGAAGAAGAAAGCTTGAGAGGAGGTACCTCCCAGTTTTCCAACCTGGGTGCCCTCATAATGACCATTGCTGAGTATGATAGGAATTGAAGTTATATTGGGAGTTGCTAGATTTGGGAAATGCTAACCTATGTTCATGAGGTTCTGCTCATGGAAGTGTTTCAGGGATTTTCAGCTGTCTAGTTTCATAACTGTATACCTCTTTATCTAATCTTTGTTTCTCATGATGTATTTATTAATTACATTTGAATTAATTTATTTGAATTAATGCTTTTATGTCTGTATTCTGTTGGTATAAACTGCTCTGCTATCATTAGATTAAGAGTGGTATAGAAAAATGCTAGTAATTTAGGCACCAATGTTGTTCCTCTCTCATTTTCTATTGTTTTTCATGGTTTCAAATAAAATCTTCTTTATGTGCTTATACCTGAATGTATTTTTAAAGAATACAATGTTAAAAAGGCACTGCACTTCATGTCTAATGTGAAGTGTTGATTTTTGTCTTCCAATTTTCATCAGATTTGAAACTTAGTATTGTCATGGCCATGCAACAGCTTTCAAATAGTTCAGTAGCTGGAGTCTTTCCAGTACTTGCACCCCACTGTGTCCATGTAATTTTGACTTTAGGGTAGAAAATTGACCATTTGATCAGACAGTCTTTTCTAGTTATTGTTTCAGAGTGGTGGTGAACTCTCTTTCTCATTCAGTAATGAATGCCATTTATTACAGGATGATGTGATGATGCCCCAGAGAATAAGACTGCAATGGGAAGCTATTATTAAGTATCCAAGGAGCGTGAGTATTTTTCTGTTGTTAGTAAAACATGCAATGTGTTTTAACAGAAAAGCTTGGAAAATGTTGTGATAATATTGACTGTATTGGAATGTAGTTGTTGTTTTCCTATGCCTGAGGCTAGCAACTGAATTTTGAAAGAAAAGTGACTAAAGCGGCCCATTGTATTGGTTTGTTGGTGCATTTTGCTCTGAATGCTTTTTAAAATCCAAGTTACAAAACAGTATGTAAAGTTAACATATAAAACTATTAAAAAATAGTATATAAAAGGAAAGCATCAGTACACTGCTGAAGAAAAGAAGTCACTTCTCATCACTCTATTAGCCTGTTCTAAGCATTAAAATAGGGGGACGCGGTGGCGCAGCGGCTTACTGACGCTGAAAGTTGCCAGCCAGAAATGGTCGACGCTTCAGCGGTTCGAGTCCAGCCTTTGCGTTAACAGGGTGAGCGCCTGTTTCCTCCCCAGTTCCTGTAAACCCAACAGTGCGAAAACTCACGTGAGTAGATAAATGGGGACTCCCACTCTGGTGGGAGGAAAAATGGTGCCGGCGCCTT